ACGTTCAGAAAGAAACAGCAAAAGGGAGAGGAAAAAGATAAATTGGAATATTGGTTAGACAATAAATAAAGAGTTGGTTATTCCCATTCCCATGAGAAAAATAATTCTCTCAAATAGACGCACCTACCTGTAAATATTAAATTCAAAGAATTAAAGGGAAAATGGGGACAGGCTGTCTAACACGTCTATGGTAAAATAGAAACCATAAGGCTATAAAGAAAAGAATGAAGACATTGCTTGGCTATGCTAAGAAAAGGTTAATCACTGAACTTTGTACTTTCCTTTTACTGTGATTATTGAAAAATATTGTACACTGAGAAATACTGTGCAAACTCATGGTTTGATTTATGGTCTGATGCTTTACTGCTATTGTAAGCTTTCTAATTATAAATAAATGTTGTAGAAGGCAGCTTTCAAAAGAAGAGACGTAAAAGACATTTGGGCTGACCTCCCCCGAGACGGTCAGTCAACAGCCGCTACTAGAACTGCAATTGTGGTTTCTGGTATAGTCATTTCTACCGCTGCAGTTACCTTCACCCCTTCAGGCCCCAGACTCAGCTGGAGCTGGACTCCGGCAGCCAGCGAAGCATAGATTTTAAAAAGTTAGCAGGGCTGGAGAGAAGTCTCATTGGTTAAGAGCACTGACTGCTCCTGCTGAGGAGCTGGGTTTGGTTCCCAGTACCCACATGGTTGCTAAAAACTATACTTAACTCCAGTTCCAGGGGATCCAACATGCTCTTCTGACCTCTGTGAGTATTACAGGACATAGGGGCGATTACATACTTGAAGGCAATGCACTCATATACATAATAAAAATATAGTATTAAAAAAATAATTCTATCAATTCAACTTCAATTCTCATATATATTTTGATCATAGTCACCCCTCTTCCCAACTACTTCAAGGTCCATCCCAGGGTGGCAGATGGAGGTGCAAATGGGTTAATGTTCTCCCATTTACAAAAGCTGACCTAGCTAGTCGGATCACCAAATGTTCAACCAGTTAGCAACAAAGATCAGTGTGATATTTTCCTCAAGGTAATCACAGTGAGTCTCCTTTTCTAGAAACTGGGAACTTGCCATCATAGGTGTAGACCTTATTCTGGCCAACTCTTTGCCTTTCTTTTTTGTGGCCCTTCATGGAGCATCTCTGTCTGAGGAGACTTTTGAATCTGATCCATAGTCACAGCATATCCTAATTTATAACAGCCAACTATGAGATCCACTTATAGAAAGAGACAAAGGCGTGATCTCACAGCGATGACTCTTCTGCTCCTAGCAAGTACCACACAATGCAGAAGCAGTGATCTTTCGAGATCAATGGAATAGCCTACCAAAGGTAAAACTAAAGTGCCAATTGTAGGTAATACAGTTCCATGGAGTAGTGACATTGTGCAGGCTACAGAATGAATCATAATCTCTTGTATAGACATTGGTCCCACTGGGAAGATTAAATGCATCTAGGAATCAAAGGGTTGAAGTAGGAGAGATTCCACTGGTCATTATATCTAAGGATGCATTGGATGACTGTGCTTCCTATTCCTGTAATTCCACGTTCTGCAGGGAGTTATAAGTTACGACCATTGCCTGGACATTCCAGACTTCTTGTATACAGAAACCAGAAGACTACAGAAGGAGTCAATTTCTTATTGGAAATAACAGACCCTACTCAGCAGGACATGATGGGCTGCTGGTTCCCTATGCTAGCTGAGGAATATATGTGGAACTCTGAAAATCCACTTGGGCATATTGCGTCATGATACTTGACCACAAATAGACAAATGCAATGGCCTCAGCCTTAGTAGAGTATTTGTGGCTGCAGAGCCCTCAGCAGTGAGAATCTTCACCATATCACCAGATGCTTATAAGACCAGCCAAGGTAACAACCGAGGGCAATTTTGAATGAGCTGTGGAAAAGAGGTGATAACTACTAATTGTGGGCTTGAAACTAATTGCAGTACCAGGTTAGAGCTTGTTCCTCAACCTCCATCTTCTAAGATTCCCCTAGGGATGACAAACCTATTGCTATCTCAAGCAATTTATCCCAAACATATATAAAGAATTAGGTGTATATAACTTGGGTGGACTGTGGAGATCATAAAGATGAGCATTCCACTGAGAAGACTATTTGCTGTATGGCTGGAAGGGGCGGAGTTTGCACTCTTAAACAGCTCAATATGT